AAAACCCTATTCTCATTATCACGGCCCCTATATTACTCGAGACGGCACCCGAGCCTTTGTGGATTATTGCTCCTGCCTTTCATGGCAGTAGCAGGGGTTTGGATACTGTGCATTGAGAAGGAAGGGGTCATGTGCTACCCGACAGACAAGGTTCCTGTAATATATGGGCCTTAATAATTAGAATAGGCTGTGGGGTATACTATACTACAAGTATAATATGGTTTTCCACCAAAAAAATTGCAAAACCCTATTCCACTTATTAAGGCCCCTACATTATTTATATAACAGTTGGGCTGATCATGGCACGGTATCGCTAACTAGGCTTCTTCGAAAGAGCATCCTGAAACCAAAGTCGCCGCTGGAGGGCCGAGGCTCCGTCGCAGGTGAGAAGATGCCGAGGGTGGCAAAGCAGGACCCTAGAGTTTGGGGCTTATAGTGTTTAGGGGTTTCGGGTTTAGGGATTTAGGGTTTAGGGTTTAGGGTTTAGGGGTTTCGGGTTTAGGGGTTTAGGGTTTAGGGGTTTAGAGTTTAGGGTTTTTTTTGTGGAGCCTACTGCGGAGGCTGTTTAAGTTATTGTAGGGATCGGGGAGAACTATACCCTAAACCCTAGACCCTAACCCCCTAAACCCTAAACCCTAAACCCAGAGCAGTATACTAGTGAAGGGTGGGTGGGCCCCAGGCATGCACCAGGTTTCGGACTTCTTTGTCCTACTCCTTGGTCAGATAATTTGAAGCTGATATATATATATATATACACACATACATACATACATACATACATACATACATACATACATAGCAGAGTAGATCTGGCACACTAGAACAGTTTTCCTGTAACCCTTTGGCACCTCTACCGCAAAGGTGTGCCATTCCCGTAACTTCCCGTACAGGAACCGATCTCGAATCGAGGGCGTCCTCAATGCGAACCCGCTGGGTCCAGGCCGTGCTAGGCGGGCCAAGTACCAAACACATGGTATGCAGCCGATACTAGTATCCACGTTGGTCCGGTTGTGGTCCATAGTAGTGGCTGTAGTGTCTTCGTGTTGTAAATTCCAGGTTGATCAAGTCTACTTTAGTTTCCTCTATGGTAAGTATTGGGGTTACTTCTCTTCGTAGAATTTCTGACCAAGCCAACTTGCAGTATCCTGATATAGACCAAGCCCTTGTGACACGTCTGACGAGCTTGTAGATGTTGCCACCGAGCCTTACACGAATCAGTTTGTTGTGCTGTTGTGGTGATGAATAGGTATGAAGGATGGGTGCTGGTGTGGTGTCGCAATTGTTAGGCATGCGAGGTTCTTCTGTTCAGGGTGCTAACCCGTCTAGTAGTAGTCTACAGAGGTGATGAGCACCTCAAGAGACCTTAAAGGGACCATAGTTTCAAAATAGATGGTTCTGCTTGAGTAATTAATGCTACTATGATGTCCGGAGGAGATCACCATTCGGTATCTGGGTTTCCTTCCAGGTGCCCATGCCCCTGCATACTAAACTGGGGTCATGAGTCCTACCTATAGTCTCCATTGTAGTGCTTTTTTTGGTTTAACCAATTATTGGTTCATTAAGGATTTTATAAGGTATCCCCCAAAAGGGACTACACTGGAGACAACAGGTAATATGAAAACCCTAAACCCTAAACCCTGAAGCCCACGAAGACATAGACTTCGGTGACAAGTCGGCAGAGGAGGCCCGAAAGAGCATCCATCCTAGGCTGGCAGAGGGCCTAGACCCTAAACCCTAAGCCCTAAACCCTAAACCCTAAACCCTAAACCCCTAAACCCTAAACCCAAAAAGCTCACAGAAGCCTCCACGGACCAGAGGGGACACTTAAAGGAACCCCTTAAAGGAACCCTCAAAGGGCCCTTCTAGGGACCCCTTCAAAGCTTCAAAGGACCCCGAAGGGCCCTCCTTAAAGGAACCCTAACGGAAACTAAAGGAACCCCTTAAAGGAACCCCTTAAAGGCCCTTCTAGGGACCCCTTAAAAGGACCCCGAAAGAGGGGTCCCTAAACCCTAAACCCTAAACCCCTAAACCCCCAAACCCCCAAACCCCTAAACCCTAAACCCCAGACCCTAAACCCTAGACCCTAAACCCGAAGAGGTGCCCATGCAAGCTCGGAGAAACGGTCATGCAGCTGGGAGACGAGGATCGTGCCTTCCGATCTTGCGTTTAGAGCTTTGCGGTTTAGGGTATTGGGGTTTTGGGGTTTTAGGTTGTTGGGGTTTTGGGGTTTAGGGCTCTGCGGTGTTGGGGTTTTGGGGTTTTAGGTCGTTGAGGTTTTGGGGTTTAGGGTGTTGGGGTTTTGGGGTTTTAGGGTGTTGGGGTTTGGGGTTTAGGGTTTAGTTCCGTCGTATAGAAGTTGAAATACTCAGCAATAGTAAGATGAGGGTTAAGGGTTCGCTGTACGAGTGCTATGATTATGGGAAAATACACACGACTAGTGCAGTAATAATATTGCTTGGGGTTCCGCACTATAGTAGAACATGTGCTGAAACTTTATTCTAAGTATCAAGGTGCTATATTGCCCTACTGGATCCTAGTTTTTGTAGGGTTCCGGTACAAACCCTCATCAACGAGTATGAGGACCGTAATTACAAGATAGTCGGCTGTGGCAGAGCAAGACTTGAGGCATGTTCTGTGCACGGTCACTAGAGCTTCAGTGGTGCAACCGTTTACCTGTTAAACTACACTAAGCAACTGAACCCCTAAACCCCAAACCAAACCCTAAGCTACTTGTTGTTTGTAGAATCCCAGGAATTAGTATTTACGATCTCAGGATGGGTTTTTGTTCGGCTTCAAGGGGGTGTCGTTGAGTGGAGGTGTTGATGCTTTAGATTATTGGCGTTTTCGAGTTAGGATTCGAATTTACTGGAACCAGGGTTTGCGATCTTAGGATTTAGGGTTAACTTGGGAAGGGTGGCAGGTTCTGGGTGAGGGAAGATTTTCCGGCCTCAGGGCGACGGTTTTGAGAGCTTTCGGGTTCGGGATTTACGACTCACGGTGTCATGGATCTCGGGTTTGAATCTAGCTGATCCTCTGGCAGGTTTGAGCCTCCTATCGCGAACGTCGAGAAGAAACATAGAGTTATTAGCGCTTCGAGAAAATTTATGGACCCGCCCGAATATGTACTGCCAGAACCAAGGTTGGTGTTGAGGCTGCGCGAACTTTTGGAGCCACTGTTGGCCGAACTTGCCCAGAAACCGAGTTTTCTTCAGAACTCGCCCAGAATACTCCAGACGAACTGCTTCAAACCGAGTTGTCTTCAAGGACGGCCACAACGGCCTCCGTTCAGCCCAGCTCCGCCATGTCTTCCATAGGCCGAGATGCAAGCGGGCATCGCTCGGAGAGGGAGGGTTAGGGTGTAGTCTCTTGTGCTATAATACAGGGGCCTAAATAATTATT